ATACCTTCCAAGGCAGCGTATGTATCACACACTTCTATTAGAGACTGGAATGTTTAAAGCAATTTTAAATTACATTTTGCTCCATTATTTTACATTTATTTTCAGATTTTGATTTGCCATTTTAGAAAGCCTAGAAATTAATCACCAACCAGAGAGACCGTATCTAACTGTGCTTGACAGGGGAGATTATAGACCCAAATTGCCGGGTTTGAAGACATCCTCTGTTATTTATTAGCTGTGTGATTTAGAGCTATTGATTTACACCCTCTTTGCTGAAGCTTTTTCACTGTAAAACAGAAAGGATAGTAGCTAGTACTGATGTCCCACAAAGTTGGGGGGTCCTCTTCTCCAAGGCGTGTTGCCGGGGGTGGAGTTCTTACAATATGTGAAGGAAAAGAACGTTCTGAGACTCACACAGGAGAAAGTGGTTTTCATTTACATGGAATGAAGTCCCTGGATTTCCAAAGTCCCACTTCTCTTTGTCTATTCATAGAAGTGTAGCTGGGTTTCAGTAGAGCTAGAAGCAAAGCCAGTGTCCAGAGTTGCCTTCCCATGTTGGAGAAGGTCCAGTTCAGCGTCAGGCTAGTCATGGTCCATCAGTCCACTGTGTGTGGGGATCTGCATGGCCGTGGGCCGCATGGGAGAACGCCAGGAAGCCAAGCACGAGCCATGAACCCAGCGTGCCAAGAGGAACCAAGAGAGCCCAAGAGCACAAAGAGCGAGCTTCTTTAGTCAGGGAATTAAGTATCCCATGTCATGGAGGGCTTGCAGTGGCCATGCCCGTTCTGCACAAACATCTCGGTCTCCAGGTGTGATAGACAGTCAAGTGCCTCCCCTGGTCTTCCCAACTTTACTGAGCATGCATCGATTTTCCCTTTGTCCAGTCCCTCCAATGTTTGTCAGGGAATATGCCTGTAGCATCTGGTCTTTCCTTTGCTTCTTTTTTATTATCAATAATCAGCTAATTATAATGGTACCAGGACTATTATTAGTAGAGTACTAGGATTATAGTGAGGACTAAATAATTAAAGCAAACATTAATAGTGCCCTTAGCAAAGGCTAGGACTCATCTGAGCATTTCGTATGTAGTATCTCATCAGTTCCTTTAAAAAAAAATTGTGTGTCATTACCCTGTTTACAGATGAAGAAATCATGGTACAGAGATGTGTGACTTGCTGAGTCAAGCGCCCAGTGTTATCAAACTCACTTTGAAATCAGTCTGGGTTCACTGTCTGTCTTACACCACTTTGTTCCTTGATTTTTCATGGGCAATTTTACTTCAGTTTCATACATGTCAAGTACTTAGAACAGGATCTGACACTGATTAAGTGCCAGCAGGTGTTGGCTGCTACTTCCACTGCCTTTGCCACAGTTTCATGGTTAATCATGAGAGAATGGATGTAGGAGTCCGACGTGCCTCATACACATCCAACGCCTTCCACACGCGTGTACACATCTTCTCATCAGGGTAACTTCGGCTTTTCAGAGAAATATCTATCACAGCAGCCTGTGCATGTACCATTCTCTGTTTGTTTGTTTTTGTTTTGTTTTTTTTGTCAGGCTTACTGTCTGGCTGGCTGGCTTACTAGATTATGAACTCCGTAAGAGAGGAGAGTTTGTCTCCTTTGTTTTTGTTCTACATCCACTGATTGGCAAAGAGCTGACACATCATAGGTACTCAGTAAACATCTGTGATAAACAAAGGTGAACAAGAGAAATGCAAAGAAAAGAATCATTTTTTCCTCCTTAGTCAATTGCACAGCCTATCACAAAGGCATTGCAATGAGAACATTTCACATTATTTTTCTATAATTATTAGCAAGGTTAAGATCAAATCCTCAGCTAAAGAATATGTGCAGGAGGGTGCCAATGGGGGAAAAACGAGAACCGTCTGTAACAAAAATAAATTAATAAAAAATAATATCTTAAAAATACAATAATAAATGATACAAGAACAATTACAAAAAAATAAAAAGAATGTGTGCATGAAGGAAATGTAAGCAGGGTTCTCGGGCCCGTGCAATGCACATGGCCTCTCCCTGGTCTCCTACTGGCTTTGTCTCAAGAGTAGCATAAGAAGACAAGTGTATTTTCTGGAGTTACAGCCGAGATTCAGGTCAGCTCCAGAAAACTGTGAAATACCTGCAAAGGAGGATTTCCTGGTTTAGAGGAAAGATATTTGAATCTAAACCTGAGGTTTTTCTTCCTTCCAAGAAAAAAAAATAAAGATATTTATACTAGTACATTATGTAGAAGAAGATGACTCCTGCTCACCATTACTATGTTTTATTCCTACTCCATGAGCTATTGCCACCAAGTAATTTTCTCAGCAAAAATGAACTAGAGAGGAGAACTGTGGGTCTATTTTAATATCTGAAACTAGGCTAGCTTTCCAAGTTTGGGAACATAGAAATATAATGTAAAAGAACATGAAGAGAGAATATAAAGATGAGAGTGGAAAGCTATGATGTTTTAGTAGAAGTGATTTTCTTGCATAGAGAACTTTGGAAAAATGAACACAAGAAAGAAGGTATAAAACCTTCTTAAATGTCAATCTTTTTCTAAGAGGTAGTTTCTTGGTACTGATTTTCACTTCAAAATGTCTGTTATCAGATTTAGACATAGTTTAGGATTGTATCCTCTTTCAATGATTGAAAGAGTTGATATCACTTTTATCGTGTTTTTATCACATATATATTTTTTAATTAGTACTGAGATGTTGTGTGAAGGGTTATGTGTTGGACCGAAGATGAATAGACCTTGGTTCTAACCCCTCAAAATGTTCCTGTGCTGATAAATAATGCAGAAATGATGGTGAGGTGTGATTTGTTAATGAAAGATGTTCTTATGTGCATTGCATTTTGCAGTTGTTTGGTTTTGATTCAGTTCACCAGATCTCACTTGACTATATTGGTATAATGTAGTGACACAGTGATGTCCAAATGAATATAGGTAGAGAATTGTTCATTCCTTCTGATAGCTGTATGTTTATATTTTTAGTCAGTAAAACAATTGCTATTTTAATCATAGTAAAATTTACGTAGATATAAAAATTAATTCTGAGGGGAAATTTAGTGGAATCATGTGAAAACAGGGAAGAATACCAGCGACAGAAGCATATGGGCTCTCGATGGTTAGAGTAAGAGAAAAATGGGTAGATAGTTGCCAACAAAGAGATATAATAATTCAACCCATCTATTTCTCCATTAAGTCAGAAAAAATTCTAATTAACATCTTAAAGTTGACTCTTTCCTCATCCTAACATACTTAAGGACAACTTACATAGTCCTTAAATTATATATCCTAATGGTAATGCCTTTTTTTTAATGCTACAGTTCACAGAAGTTTAGGCTAGTAATGCAGATGAAAGCATATACTGTAGTGCCATTGATTAAACAACAGTCATACATGTTATATCCTAACAATACTGAGAGAATGTGAATGAAAATTGTACCTTTTTACGACGTTTTGAACTGCATGGCTATTTTAATATCTGAAACTAAGCTAGCTGTCCAAGGTTTGGAACATAGAAATGTGCAACCATGCTTCATTTTACAAAATAAATACAATCTTTCAAATGTGGAAATTATTTTTAAAAATTAAGTCTTAGTGTAGATATATTAGTAAAGCACACTTTTAAGAAAAAGTGTGTGTGTGTGTATGTATATATCTTTGCTCAGTACTTTGTATTGAGTCAAAAGGTCACAAAACAGCTTTAGAATAAAAGCCTATGGTCTTTCAGGCCACAAATTCCAAACCCTAATCTCCAAAGTTTTTATGTGGCTTCGATATGAAAGCACATGTATATTCACACTGACGTGGAATTGGCATACCATCTTGATAGAAAAGAGTGTTGGGAGATGTTTTCATCGAATTTCAGTGTCTAGACTACAAGCTACATAAAGGCAGGCATTGTTCTGTATTTTGATCCCTGAAATGTTGAAAGCCTCTAGAACATTATGTCATACATAGTGAGACTCGGTGAGTATTTGTTGAATGAATGAATGAATGAATGAATGAATGAATGAATGGTTTGTAAATAATCACCCTACTTATATTTTAGATCATAAAAATGATAATATAGCCAGCTGTAAGTTAATTGTCTGAGACAGGTGATGGCAAAAGCCTCATATATTAGTTCCTTAGGCAGTGATATTGTCCTTCAATAAATTATTTTACTATTAAGTACTAAATTGGTGATAAAAGGAAACATCCACTAAGGTGATGTATACTAAAGGAGAATTTCTAGACAAACATCTTATAGTCTATATACCTCCTTACTTAAATCATTCTGTTATTCACAAATAATTTTATATGGGGTATATAGGTTAGTATTTGTTATGAAGATTTATTTATCCATTCAATAAGCACTTGGTAGATGTTTTCCTTCAGCAGCATGCTAAGTAGTGGGGATATAATTGTATTCAGATGACTTTCATTGTCCCTGTCCTATGGCTGGATTCTCTTGGGACAGAAACAAATAAAAAAACAAGCAAACACATAAATGAACAAAATAAATGGAGATTGGGAATTTGGGAATTGAATGAATCTATCGTTACAGTTTTCAGGGGAAGCAATTTTGAGGAGATAACATTTAAGCTGAGATCTTAAGTTGCAAATTTAGCTTAAAGACTTTCTCAATTGGATAAGTTCTAAAATATCCAAAAGCAAGTAAAAATGCCATTGGGAAGGGAGACGGAAGAGAGACTACTGTACCTTTGACATACAATAATCAGTAAAGTTGGAAATGCTTGTATCCGATAGTTAATGCCCATTTGTCAATGTAGAAACATTCCTGTTTTGCACAGTAGTTATCATGAAGCACCCATATTTTTTATGTTGTTCACCCAGTGTTTGGGATGTTAAAATAACTGCCCAATATGAAACAAAGATATAGAATTTTGATAATACCCAAACAAATGGAGTATAATTTTATATATTAAGTTTTGATAATATTTCTATTTTTTATTTGATTTCTTTATTTTATACATGTTTCCCAGGATAGTCCACTGGTCTTACAGTCTGACAGGAATGTAACAGTGAATGCGAGAAATCACATGGGGCAGTTAACTGGACAGCTGACAGTAGGTGAGTGATTTGGGATAAAATCTCTTGTACCATCTTACTCCATTGAAAATTCTGTGGTTGCTTAAATTGGGAAAAGCAAAATTATATAATTTCTCTAATATATAACTAGACATCCATGCAGCCCAATTATCGCACATATGATTTGATTGGTCATGAGGCAAGTTATGGTTTCCTCTTTTTGGTAGTTATTCCTCTTGTCAGTGTGTTATTATGGGACTGAATCATATATATTTGCTGTTATTACTCTTGATTTATAAACTGCACAATTTTCTTAACAAATATCTCCTAGTATATGTTAAGTCATAGTAAATAGGATTGTGAGTTATGACATTATGGAGTCTATATATTCTTTATTTTAGGCAAATAGTTTACCAAAAAATATCATCAGCTTATTTAAATTAAAAATGACATAATAGTTGAAGATAATGATCAACATTTATAAATTACTTATGAATTTGACGTTGAGTTATCTAAACTTTAAGGCTATAGGCTTTAGAAGTGATAAATATAAGTTAATGCTAAAATATTCTGTTTTATCATATTGTCTAAATTTTCATTTAAAATTCATATTACATGCCATTATTATTTGAGTCAATGTTTGTAAGAAGAAAGACAAATTAAAAGTCATTTGTAATTATGTAAGAATATACAAAGATTTAATTTGTGTGTAAATACAAAAATATTTTTAGAATACTACATTTTTCTGTGGGAAAATTGCCTACCTCTTATTGATATTTTGTGTGTTGTGCGTGTGCATGTGTGTGTGTTTGAAAGTATATAAAAATGGTAAATTATAATTTTGAGGACTGATTTATTCTTATCTTAATGATAATTTCATCATCATTTTAATGCACATGTATGTTTCCAGTATCATAATTAAATGACACAAAATTATGTTATTTAAAATGTGAGATTTATAAACATGAGTTTGATTCTGTCCACTTCCTTTATCGATATATGAAATACTTTTTGATATGCTATTCATTTTAATGAACCCAGACGTGGAAAGTATATTTTAGCATATATTTCCAAAAAATATGATTGCATTTTATGTATAATAATCAAATTTTATTTTACTTATATTTAAAATGTAAGAATTGGTCAGTAGGTTTTCATTAAGTACTATAACTGGATAGTATTTTGTGATAGATACATAGAAGTATTCAATTATGAAGCAAGGTGATATGCAAATCTATTAAAAATTAGAGAAGAGAAATATATCTATGGATACAGAACTGGTTCAGAAGCACCAGGCACACCGTCTGAATGACTGTGCCAATTCATTGTTGTTACAAGGTGAGAACTGCAGAAACAGGCCTAAACCGGCAGCTTTGCCTTATCATTATTTTCTTAATGTTGAGAGCACTTTGGATAGATAAAACTTTCTTTTATATTCAGTTCTTGATTAAAAAAAAGAAAAGGTCCTTAGTGGAAATGCTTAAATGTATATTAAAGACATACACCAGTGTCCACTGTAGTACGACAGCTACATAACTATTGCTAGCAGAGCGGAGCAGCCCTTTGATTACATGGAGTGCAATCAAATGCCATTTGCTTTGCATGCAGCAGCATGCTTTCCTGCAGGAAATATAAAGAATAACAGTACTGTGATAGTATTTCAACCGTGGTCTCGAACTGATTTTAACATAGTATCAACATGTGTCAATTGAGGGAAAATGGAAAGAGCGAAGAAACAGAGAGGGTGGGTGGAGGGAGAAAGGTTATGCTTAGTTTTAAATGAAGTAAATGAATAAGCTAATGATGTAGAAGCTTTTATCTGTGAATGGAAATATGCTCAAACCGTTGAGGCTTAATCTAAAAAGCGTTTAACATCCTGGTCACTGGGGTCTGCTGTTGGTGACCTCCATCTTTTCATTGGTCTGTATTTTTCAATAAACTTAAAGGAAGATAAAGGAAGGTATAGAAAAAGGGGAGTGTGGAGGGAATAAAGTGTTCACATTTGAAGTCAAATTATCTGGGACTTCAAAAAATAATTTACCAATTGGAAACTCAGTTTTTTCATGAACAAAACAGAGATGAGGACACATATTTATAATAATATTTTAAGAATCAGGGCAATTTCAGTATCTCAAATAGTAGACAATTATATTTTGAATTTGTTATTATTTTGATGTTGGTGATTAATAATTACATCACTTAAGTTATAAATATATTGCTATTAATTGAGAAATCTTAAGTGATGGTAATTTTCTATCCAAAGTATCTCTGTGATAATAGTTGAGGAATATGTCTGATTACAGTACTGTTGCAAAAATTTTCTTTAGGTGAAATTTGAAGATATAATAGGATGAATTTAAGCAATTCAATTAGTGCTCATTTAAAAGACTTTAATTTTAGTTATATTGATATAAAGGATCTGTTTTAACCTTTTCCTGCTGCCTTTTTTTTTACTCCTTTTCATTTGAGTTTAGTATAAACATGATACAATTTTACAATATTTAAAAATATACTTCCAAAACATGGACTAATATTTATGGGGGAAAATATATGTATTCTTCATTATCTAAATAAAGCAATTCTAATTTCTATCCTAAATCTATCAATTTTCATTAGAGAAGTATGACAGACTGAATTATTTTTCTACATTTCATTCCCATTATATAAGGCAAAATAAAATGTTTCTTATCAGTATCTGCCTGTATTATTTTTTCCCAAAATTCTATATATGATTGGTCAGCAAAGCAAATAGCCATTCCCCTTGTATCTTGTCCTTTTCATATGAGCCTGCCTTTCTGTTGATTAAATTTGTAAGAATATGCTAAATGGAAGGCCAAACAGACTTGTGTCAATTCTAATCCAGACTCATTCTGAGGATATGAAACCAGATTATTTCTAATTTAATAAATGTAAAGAAAATATTTTATACATATGACAACTCAGACCTACTCAAAATTAAATATAAACATTTTTAGTTTGGAGTTAAAAAGTCAACTGACAAATATTTATGTGTGTTTATGAAATAGGCTTCATGTTAAATTTCTGTTAATACCAGAATACCCCCTCAATGACAGCTAAGATTCTAGTTTTTCACAGGAGATTAATTAATTCAAAAATTTTTAATACATTTTTTCTGAGAATAAAGCTGAAAGATAGAAATGAGATTGTTAAGAAGTGATTAAAGAAAGTACAAGATGCTAAGAGGTCAGATGTCTTTAAAAAAAAAAAAAAACAAAAACCCAGGAACTTTCTTAAACATGTATCAAAATTTTTTTCTGGAGTATTCATCAAATAACACAGGTAAAATGTGAATTATGCACCATTTTTGAGAAGCATATCATATTCTCCTAGGAAACGGCTACAATGTGATGTAGAGAATGAAAAGCATTCCTTTAGGGCAGTGCATTTGTAATATTGTCAGGTGGTGTTGATGTAGATTTTGCTTATAAAACTGATAATACTAATAATTAATTCTGCAGTAATTAGATTTGCTAAAAACATAATGACCTTTTCCATAATATCATGGGGATAATTATCTTCTATTTGCCAATAACATTACATTGATCGATAATAGAAGAGACAAACTATTGTAAGTAGTTTAAAAATATAAATGTTAATTTCATCAAATAATTTGCCCTTCAGCATCTCTTCGCCAACTTGAATAGGGTATAAATTATATGTTACTTATTCTGACGTTACATTATAAAGTATTGCTTATTTTTGATAAAGCAATGGCTAAAAAATAATGAGATTTTTTTTTCCTCATGTATGTCTTCTGTTATCAATCTATAGCAGGAAAATTTTAAAAAAGGAGGATAAACTGAAGAATTGAACATGGAATAATATTAATGAGAAAACATATTTTGTTTTTAGTTTAGTAAGATCCTTCATTTAAACTTCAGTCACAAATATGTTGTTAAAAACCCAGAATTGCTACGTGGTCCTGTCTTATAAATATAATAAGCTTCATGATACCACATCTATATTATCATCCCAGTAAAATGTTACTACTAATTGTGTATTAAATAATTAGAATGTCATTGTTCTGAGATTTTACGACTAAAACGTGTTTAAAGTCACAATCTCCGGCTTCAAATGGAATCTTGTATTTCACCATAACTCCCCTTGTTTAATGCTCAATAAATTTGGGAAAATGAATTAACTCTTCAGAAATGCCAGCTGTTATTGTCAGAATCATGTACTCATCATTGATATTCTCATTTTCATTTATCAAAAATCAGGACATATCAAATTATATAAAATTCTCAGTTGTAATCTATAATTACTTATATTTCTTTCATTTTTTTCCTAATCCTCACCCAAGGACATGTTTTTATTGATTTTAGAGAGAGAGGAAGGGAAGGGGTGGAGAGAGAAACATCATATATGCCCCAACCTGAAATCGAACCCAACCTTAGGTTTGTGCCCTGAATGGGACTCAAACTCACAGCCTTCCAGTATAGGGGACAAAGCTCCAACCAACTGAGCCACACAGGCCAGGGAACTTTTTTTCAATTGTTTGTTTGATTCTTTGCTCTATTTCTTAATTAATTCTTCAATGCTTTAAACTCCTTCAAAGTAATTCGTAAATAAACCTTAAGTATATGGCAGCAAGAAAGAATGCCATTGGCAAGAAATTAGACGCAGTGATACTTACATTTAGTACCAGTTTTCTTGTTATATTTTACACTTTGAGGATTAAACACCACGTGATACTGCGAACAAGGACAGACAGCTTCTGCAGGAGAGTCAGCCCTGGTTCCGTGTGAGGCGTGAGGAGCTCGCCCTTGGGGCTCTTGGAGGGAGCTGCTGGGGCTGGAGGATGGACAGGATGGTCAGCAGGCACGGTACTGCCCTCTGCCTTCCCCAGGGAGGGAGCTGCTGGGGCTGGAGGATGGACAGGATGGTCAGCAGGCACGGTACTGCCCTCTGCCTTCCCCAGGGAGGGAGCTGCTGGGGCTGGAGGATGGACAGGACGGGCAGCAGGCACGGTACTGCCCTCTGCCTTCCCCAGGGAGGGAGCTGCTGGGGTTGGAGGATGG